CCTGGTCAATAAACATCGGTACAGCCATTGTATATCGAGTTTCAAAGCACATTACACTTAAAAAGACACAACCAAAGGTATCATTGAATAGCTGATTTAATGCAGCACCAAGAGAGTTAACTAGAACATATAAATAGATGACCCAAGGCAAACGATTGACACCAGAAGAACGAGGAGCCATTTTGGCTTTTCGCCAGGCGAATTGGTCGATTCGACGCATAGCGAAGGAGCTTTTCTTGGCGAATGGCACTGTCGCCAACTTTCTCAAGAACTCTTCCACGTATGGGACGTCTACCATACCTGGCAGACCGAGAAAGTCGGCTGACAGAGACGTTCGCCGAGTCATCCGTGTTGCTTCCGAGGGTCGGAGCAGCTCATCAAGGACCCAACATGACTTCCAACTGGACGTATCTCCACGTACGATTCGCCGCGTTTTAAAACGCTCAGAGCATTTCCAATACAAGAAGCGCAAGGTTACACCACGGCTGACGAAGGCGCACAAGGAAGCAAGAGTCAAGTGGGCCAAAGACCACGTCGACTTTGGCGACAAATGGGCGACTGTAAACTTTTCGGAGAAAAGAAATTCAATTTGGATGGCCCCGATGGGCTCCAATTTTACTGGCATGATCTCCGAAAAGATGAACAGTCGTTCATGAGTCGCCAAAATGGCGGTGGAAGCGTCATGGTGTGGGGAGGATTTTCCTCCCAAGGACGTACGTCGCTTTCTGTACTGCAAGGTCGTCAAGACTCGTTTGCCTACTGCGACACGGTAGCAAATTATATGCTACCGTTCGCCCATTAGAAGCATGGCGATGGCTTCTTGTTTCAACAAGATAATGTCAGCATTCACACCAACAAGGAGACGATGGCTTTTTTTGACGACCAAGAAATTCCAGTTTTGGGCTGGCCGGCATTGTCGCCCGACCTCAACCCAATCGAAAATGTTTGGGGGATATTAGCCCGAAAAGTTCACGCAAATGGTCGACAATTTTCGACAGTTTCGGAGCTGCAAGCCGAAATTTTACGACAATGGGACGCGATCGAGCATTCGTACTTGCTGAAGCTTATAGATTCGATGAAATTCAAGTGTATTGATGTCCTCAGTCGTAAAGGGAATTGTACTAAGTACTAATGTGAAATTTCATTGCTTCAGCTTTAAAATTGAGTGTGTTGTGCAGGTTTGAAAGACGTGTCCAATGCTTTTGTCCAGCCAAAAAACTCGTCTTGCATATAATCTGTTGTCTTTCTCAGCATGTACGCCACTTCTATGCAATCCAAACTTACCGACGTGCTCGCAATGCATTTAGGATCAATGTAGCACAGCACGGATACTGGTGGCGACAATGTCTTGGGACGTACCTCTCAAATTCAAGTGTACCAAACCTTTATGTCCAGCACTGTAGTTCCAAGCACTATTCAAGTACGTCCACACTCCCTGAAGCAAAAGAATGCCTTCCATGCCCAGCTAACCATGCAGCAAACGCACCTCATCTGACACGTTTCTTGACAGTGTAATGACAACTAGGGCGATTTGTTCATGGCTCGATTGTCAAGGATATGCTAAATTCACAAGTCTCAAATGCCCTTCAAGACTTCCGGATGCTTTCGCTCAGTTTTCCGGAACCGCTGGTTTGCGGGAGCAATGGCAATGAAGAAGGCAGCGGCAGTGGCCGCAGTCCGTGGCACAAGGGACCTTTGGCCAAAAGAGCTTGCGGCGCAGCAGCATGTAGTGAACATCATGCAGGCTACTTGCAGTCGCTACGGATATGCTCCCATCCAAACGCCGATGCTCGAGTCAACGGACCTGTACACACGCTCCCTTGGCACGACCTCGGACATTGTGTCCAAGGTGCTGCAAGGCATGTTCATGACCCTATCTCGAATTCCAATTGTAGGAAATGTATACGTTCCGTGATCACTCCAACAACAGCTTGACGTTGCGACCCGAATGCACCGCAGGTACCGCGCACTTTGCCTTGGGCGGCTGTTTATCGTGACCGTAGGAGTCATTCGGTCGATGCTGAGCAATGGGCTGCAATATGCAGGCCCGCACAAGGTTTTATACTCGGGCAGTATGTTTCGGTGCGTGCTGCGATGCACTTTATGTTTGCTAACACGTGATAGCTACGAGCGACCGCAACGCGGGCGATACCGCGAATTCCAGCAATTTGGTGTGTACTCTGTTGTGCTTCTCTGGTTCACATACACAAACGTAGGCGTCGAGTACATTGGATCGAATGGGCCACACGTTGACATTGACGTGCTGGCCATGGCGAACGATGTCGTACGCACGCTTGGGCTGGACCTTACGCTGCAAATTCATTCGCTGGGGTGCTTGGAAAGGTCCTCCCTCGTGCTGGATAGCTCGTGTTCACATAACGTAGTCGAAAAGTGTACCGCGACACACTGACGGCATTTTTGGCCCCGCTTAAGCGCGAGCTCTCCGCCGACAGCCAACACCGGTGCGATCCGGCGGCGCGCTGCATCCATATCTCACACGTGAAAACGATAGATTCGAGCGCGGCAGTGTGCTGCGCATATTGGACTCGAAGGACGCCCGGGACCGTGAATTGCTCCAGGAAGCACCGCGGTTGCTCGACAGTCTCACGAATAGTGCCCGGACGGTGTGTTGATTCTGCCCGCATGCAACCTAAAGTGGTTTCCATGCACAGCGCTTCGACGTGGTGCTGAATGGCCTAGCCGCACTGGGCATTGAGTCGACGCTGGACCATGGACTCGTTCGTGGCCTGGTACACTCGGTCGTGGCCGCCTCGTGGGAAGTCTGACGTTGACAGTTGTAGGACTATTACAGCCACACCGTGTTCGAGTTCATCGACTCAAAGTCCGGGCTGGCTTGCCTTGCCGGTGGCTGTTACGATCATTTGGTCGAGTCACTTGGGGGTCCAGCCACGTCGTGCATCGGATGGGCCGCCGGAGTCGAGAGGTTGACGGCGCTGTCGACGCTGCGTCCTCCGCAGCCGACGCAGATTGCCGTACGACTGTTTCTCGCCGTCATGTAAACCTCATCGGTGGCATGGTAGATGGTGCCTGTGGGCAACGTGACCGTGCCTGCCATGCAACTGGCGGCGTCGCTGCGGTCAGCTGGGCACACCGTGCACTGGGTGGACTATCCCCAGCTCAAAAAGCAGATGAAGGTGGCCGACCAGTTCGGGTGCACGTTTGCCGTGTTGGTGGGAGAAGATGAGGTCCAAGACGGCGTTGTGACCATCAAACATCTTGAAAAGCGCACGCAGGAGACGGTCGCAGCCCATTTGGTTGTCGCCTATTTCGACGACACTGGACTTTGAAGGAGTAAATTTGAATCAACCAATTCCGGAATCGCCGCGCGCGCAGCTTCTCCTTGAAGCGCACCAATGGCTGCAGCATAAACGACATGGCGGAGGCATGCGTTGTCAACGAGGCTGGAACACTCTTACAGCGTTCTATCAAAGGGCAGGTAACGTCGGCATCGGTCCGAGCCACAGTGGCAGGGAATCGAACCGATGCCGTGGTCCGCTCCATAGTCGACCGTGATTTCTTCGCCCGCTTTGATCTCGCGCAGCGACAAGACGTGGATGCGAGGGCAGAACGTCATCGGACTTCGATACGTGTCCCATCGCGCGTTGGGCGAGCAAGAATGGTTGATGAACCGCGTGAAGTTGCCGACGTGACGCGCGTCCACATTGGTCCGCCACACGGTGTCCTCGGCCTCTTCGCGGATGCTCACAATGTACCTTGACGTTCGATCCATCGTTGCTGTGCGGACGAGCTGGCCGACATACTCGCCGATGAATGCGCTTGCAGGGATGTCTTCCGTGCACCGCACGCTCCATCCAGTGCGGTCCTGTTTGAACACCTCAACGTGTACATGGCGGTGGAGTGGCGGAGGAAGATCTAGACTGCTTGATGATGCACGAGTAGATGCTTGATACGTGAAGCCGACAGGGTACCGCTCCGAGTCGACGGTGTTGACAACAGTAACACGAAGTTGGTCCAGTCCACCGGAAAGGTCGTGCTCCATCGAGCGATGGTACTTGAGCACAATGGCGTGCCATGCCGCCGATGTTTGAGCTAAGTTGGAGACCGAACTGAGCGGTAGAAAGTGCAGCACGCGGGTCAGGTCTTCATGGCCGTTCCCTGGTCGCATTCGCTTGATGGCCATGTTGCGCGCCGAGTTTAACAGATAGAGACCAATACATGTCTTCATTTGTGATTTTAGTTTGAACTTATTCTTGTTTTGTTAGCTGACGTACCTCATCCAATTGGAGCACGAAGGACGCGGTGTTCGATCTCGAGCGCGGCGGCCCCTCGCGCCAATTCGTATGGTTTGAGAGAAGCCATTCATGCGAGGTCGACAAAAGTGTAGAGGGGCTTTGTGTCGGCATCACACGCGTCAAGCATCCCTACCCGTGCCACCGCAAGAACAAGAACGACCATCTCAATTGACGTGATTCATGGCCGTTCACTTCCACAGATCTGCCTCGAGTGACAGCGAAGGGCACACGAGAGTCAACTTGCTACGTGATGGCGTTTTGGGGTGATTGGATTCACCGGAACCGCCCAAACCAGTCGACACGCACAGTCCATGCCCGCACTTGGACATGAGTTTTCATGGGAACGAATCTCCTCCCCGCTGAAGTCCTCAACTTGCAAAGCATCCCGCGTGCATCGACCGGATCTTCCATCGTCCTCCCTTTCGAGCCACTTGCCATGGCAAGGAATGACAAAGAAATCCCGGAAAGTCGTCCAAGTCGCCACCAACTCCCCAAGGTCCTTCGCCGAATCCATGCAAGTTGTGCTGAAAAACAACTTGACCGGTCTTCCATGATTTATAACCACAATGCATTCCTGCTACAGAATTTGCCCGCGGCCCAATATGTGGCGACTGCGATGCATGCTGTCGTGCTTCTGTGCCAGCTATGATGGAAACTGAATGCAACAGATTCCTCTCACACGTACTCCGTTGACGTCGCAGGCACCACTGGAGGTCAAGAACGAGTGCTTCCTTGACCATGCTTGGGGGCGGCAACCAGCGCCTGTGGTGTCGATGCCGGTAAACCAATCACAAGTGAATCCAGTGTTGTCTTCAAGCTCACTAATGACAGTCCTACCTGGGCAGATCGCGCCGACTTAGGAGGCCGGCGCGCTTTGTGACGAGTCAAACGATACGACGTTCCATGATGAAAGAGACACGTGGAAACCGGGGCGATCTCCATTAACTTTTTAGCAGGGTCAAGGGTTTGTCCATGTCGTTCAGGGCCAACAAGTTTATTGCTTGTCGTCTTTACCGGCCTTGCGGTCGCGAGCGACGCGGGCCTTTTCTTGGCGGGCGGCCGATTGGTCCTTGAGGGACTTTTCGCGCAAGTATTCAGCCTTCATCTTGTGGATGATCTCCATCAACACACGCTTGTTCTTGAACTGGTTACCCTTGGAGCGCATGTACAAGTCGTGGTACATGTGCTTGTCGATCTTCTTCGAGTCACGGTACTTGCGGAGAAGGCGGCGCAACACGCGCATGCGGCGCATCCAGATCACCTTGAAGGGCAGGCGGGCGTTGGCCGTACCACGGCGCTTACCAATGCCGGTGTGGCGACCCTTTCGCTTGGCGGCGTTGCGCTTGGTGAAGCGAGCGCGCGAGTGGATGATTTCAGGCTTGCGGATGACGAAACCATCCTTGACCAACTTGCGGATGTTTTGGCGCGAGTTGGCCAACGCGATTTCGGTCGATTCGTTCGGGTCCAACCAGATTTTGCGCTTGCCGCACTTCAAGACCGAGGCGGCCAAACTACATAGACGTCCACACCATCAGCCTTATACAAAGGGGACATCCCCGTCGCGCGCTCGCGACCGGGACAGCTCCATCCACACGCACCGCTTTTGAAGCTTCAGAGACACCATGGCAAATACCCTGCAAATGAAAAGTAACTGGACACCGGAATATGGGCGATGGCTCCAATTAAATAAATTTGGAAAATCGAGCATACAAAACCCAAGTGATACAAAAACAGAGGGGGTGACGCCGCACAGCCATTGCCATTGCAGAGCCAATGATCGGACCGACCAATCAAATCGTGGCATCGTAGGACACACAATACTGTGAAAAGCGATATGCGTTCTGGGAGGGTCTGCCCATCGTGCATGTCAAAGGGGGCGGAAGTCGGCGTCCACGTGGCACGCATGCTGGAGAGGCATGCTTGGCGCGCTTCTCATGTGCGTCCGAGTGGACTCGCTGTGATGACACCTGCTTCGAGTTCCCGCAGACACCACCGCGATCGAGGAAAGGATGACACCACCAACGATGCATCGGGATAGTATCAAGGATAACATTCAGCGCAAGGAGGAGATCGGAGGGTTTGCTGAGAATCGTTGCCGTACCTGAAGTTCTCCACATGCCACAGCAGCACTCAAGTGATTTAAAACGACCGCGTGGGCCAGCAGACGGCGAATTACATGCAGCGGGGTGCTGTTCCGGTCAAATGGACGTTTGTGTAGCTTTGGTGCTTTGTCAGTGGCGAGCTTGCTCATGACGCATTTCCTCTTACATTCTGGGTTCCATGGCCAGGTTGAATGGGAATATACATTTGGGTTCATCTGTTAAATAGAGGTCGCCGATGTGTGTGGGGACGGCGTCGGTCGGTGGCATCATCCTCACGCGAGTGGAGTCGGGACGACGTTGTTCTGGAACAGTCGTGCAAACTCGCTCGTTGGAGGCTGTTTCTCGGCCTTGGTCACGCTGCCATCGTCCATCGCGAGCGCCTGTGCAAGTTGCATTCGCTTGTCTTCAACTGCGTTGCGTTGGCGCTTGAGCTGTTCCATGGCAGCTACAATGTCGGAGGGAGGGGCTTCCGTGTGGAGGTTGTGCGCGGCCGACGTGTAGCAAACATCCATGTTGGCTCGTTGGTCTTTGTGTCGACGGCAATGGAAATGGGATAATGACCAATGTTCAAGTCGAACGGATGAGGAGTGGCGACGCGGGTGGGAGCGGCGGCGGCTTTGTAATGTGTTCAGTTTGGGAACATCGCTGTCTCGAAAGCGATGGCCACCGCCCAGTGCAGTCCACTCCAGAGGAACTGCGATGGCTCCTGAGTTAGTAACACTTCTCGTCTAGGCTCGCCTTCCACCATGGCACGACGGCAAGGCCGAGCTCCAGGAAGCGGAGCTAGGCAGATGTGGCGGCGGTGGAGGCCAGCTGCCTGTCCAGCACAGCATATGCAGTGCATGAACCAGCTGGCGCAGACTAAAACAGGACATGATCTCGAGCTCGGTCGTCGTCGTCATCCATCACACGCCAGATTCGCTTTGAATCTGACCCTCCTGTCAACCACCGACGTTGTTACACATGACGTGGCAGCACAACCGTCTCAAGCACGAAATCCTGCCGCGGACGTCCCAAAGATGCTGTCTCAAAGCCAGTCGAATGCTTCTTTCGGTGCCCCCGTAGCCAACGGCTGTGCCCGACGGGCGACAGGCATGGACGGGTGCACCAGAATATCCATTTTTCGTGTACGCATAATCGGCGGGGGGGGGGGACTAAAATGTCGACATCGCCAACGCGCGCCGGGCATGAATCGCCCTAACGACCACACGGGATGGTGAGGGAGTCGTCCTCAGTATCTCGTTCGCTGCGATTTGCATTGACGAGCGCCGTCTATCGCGCTGCGGAGCCATGTGGGGTCCAGCGACATCCAGTCCCACTCAAGCAAGTGTAATGTCTCGTTCGGTTCACCGTTTGGTGCCGACGGTCTGCTGCACCTGGCTGGCTTCTGGTGGTCCCTATGGCAACGTGGCAAAGCCCCACATCCACCGATATTCCCGCCGTGCACCGATACGTTCCAGCAAAGGCGACATGGCTAGGACGTCGACGAAGCAAAACCATGATCGTTGCCAAGGACCTCTCCGACCCCCTTTGTCGCTGGGATGTCTGCAAGGGGCCCTGGAAGGGCGTCGCCGTCTCAGCAGTGCATCCTCAAGCGAGTTCAGGGCCAAGGCGTCGCACGAAAAAGAAGCATGGCGCAATGAATGACGAATTTATAACAATATAGATAAGGACGACGCACGCAGCGAGTTGGGTACGGCGATGAAGAGGTGAATCGAGCCATCAAGGGTGTCGTTGGGGCGGGTCAGCGTCGCAACGCGATGGATACACCATGTCGTCGGCCATGCCCGCCTTTCGTTTTCGCTCGAAGTCGTGGGTCATGTTGAGACTGAGCGCCACTTGCATGCGCTTGACTTCGATGGCCCATCGACGGCGCTTGAGTGACTTGAATGCGGCCAGGATCTCGGACGGTGTCGCTTCGTCGTGGAGGCCGTGGAGTCCCGCCGTGAAGTACGACCCGTGCATCGTTACGGCGGATGGCAATTCGAAAATGAACCCACACGGAAACCTGCGTTGGTGCGACATTCAGCGACGTAGCTCACCGGCAGCTGCGCGGCGATTGCGCTGAGAGCCACAGACGTAGAGGGGCAGGTGACGCACTGGCACCACGAGAACGGGCGAGCATAGTCACCATGTTCATGACAAGTCATCTGCATGTAGCTAAGACAATCATGCCACTCGAACAACTCCTCCTTGGCGAACGGGAATCAGCCACGCACGACGGCCAGCAACTCATTCCAGCTCCATACTCGAGCCTTTGTTGGCTTGGTAGAGCTGGCGAACTGGCCCTCTCCTCCATGGCGGCGATATGCCAGAGATCATGTTGAAAGTGTAAATCAAGGACTGTGTGAAGCATGGGTCGATCGATCCTGAGGTGGCAGATCCAGTTCCATCCAGACCGTCCACTGTCCCCAACGCAACACAGGGGGACGGAGGTCCGGTGACGTCGTTTTCGACGCCAAAGCCCCGGCACCACGTTTTGTTTTACGCACTTTTCTCTTTTGCATACTCGGTTGGACATGGGACGACGTTGTCGCTGAAGAGTCGGGCGAATTCACGCGGCGGGGCGTCTTCGGCGACCTTTCGCCTGCGGTCGTCGTCGCGGAGACTCTCTAGACTGAGCGCGACTTGCATTCGCTTGTCTTCGACCGCCGTCCGCTGCTTCTTGAGGAGCTCGAACGCTGCCAGAATCTCGTCGGACGGCGCTTCTTCGTGCAGGCTGTGAGCGGCAGAGGCGTATGTGCTTTGCATTGTCTGGGTCGGAAGTAGAAATGAGGTTTCGCACTGGCATGCGCTTTCCTTGATGTTGCGTATTACTCTGGCGAGACGACTCCACCTCGGAAGGCCGCCCCCACAACACGTGAACAACTGCCTTGTGACCAGCACACAATGGCCCTACTTGAACAATTCACTGCGTAAGTTCAGCGATGGGGCGCCACAGCCACCCCCCAACGTGCCTGTTACGTGCCAACCGTCCAAGAGGGCTTTCGAGAGCGTACCCCGATGATGTGAAGAGTCCAGCACAACACGTACGACTCCTGTAGTAAAAACGCTTCACGATCGTTGTGAGGTACCTGGTGATGATAGGCTTTGCGAGCGAGATGCCAACGGAATGCCCGAAGATCGTTGTCGCCGTGCTCGGGAGCTCTGCATTTGCAGCTCCGTCTTGGCGGCGCTGCGTTTTCATGCAATGTCCACCTTTCTAGTGAGGTACTTTTCCATCATTTTGTCCAATCAAATTGCTTACCCCCTTTTTTTAGCCAATGATATCCACCAGAGCGATGAAAGAAAAAAGTCCGAAAGCTCGAATATCGAGGAATGGAACGACATGCTGTCTTCTCCGTGGTGAAAACTCATGGGGCTGGTTGTGATCGATAAGTCCACATGGGCGTCACTTTGAGTGCTTGCGACACATCTAGAATTGCCGCTGCGGACATCAAACAGTTTGCAATAGTGAGTGCCGCGATCCACCGATTTTATCGGCGATCACTCGACGACGGTCGCAGTCCACTGGTTGTCGATGTTGTGTCATGTGTGATGGCGCATGACAAGAGCTGTACCCGCGTTCATAGAACGTTCGGCTCAAAGTCGCACCAGTCATTACAAAAATGACGTGGCAAAACATTCGTTTTCTTCTTTTGCAGAGTATCGTTGTATCCAATAACCTTTTACTACCAATAATTGTTAAAAGAGAATATTTGGATATTCGCTATTGAAGGGATCTCCATGTCTACCACCAGTGCATCTCTACCTTTGTCCGCCATTACGATGCAGAACGTGTACTTCCCGGAGCCCACGCCGACACCTCCGCCTCCACAGACCGGACGGAAGGTCCCACGCACAGATGGACGCAGTGGAGATGAGTTCCGTGCGTGCTTCATGCGCTGTGGTGTCTTGAGTCATGCTGCTGGATCGGCGTACGTTGAATATGGCCAAACGCGCGTAGTGTGTGCTGTGTATGGCCCTCGCGCCGAAATGAACCCTCGACAGACGAAAGGACAACCCGTCGTGTGTGAAATCAAGCTTCCGTCCACGATGGCGACGTTTGAGTCCGAGTTTGGCAACCTCATGCGCCAAGCGTTGGAACCTGCAATCCTCGTCAACAAGTTCCCCAAGTGCCAGCTGAGCATCCATGCAGTCGTGTTGGAAGGACATGGCAGCGAATTGAGTGCCGCGATTACGTGTGCGTCGTTGGCGCTTGTGGACGCCGGAGTCGAGATGATTGACATGGTCGCGTCATGCAGTGCTGGAGCATGGCAAGGAGACATCGTTCTTGACCCAACAACCGACGAACAGGCATCGACACACGTGCTTGTTGCATTCATGGCCGCCCAAGGACAGATTACTCATCTCATGCAGCAGGGAAAACTCAGCTACGATCGTGTCCAGGAAGCTATCACGCTGTGTACGGACGGGTGCGCGGGTGTCCTCAGCACCATGATGCGCGCCTGCGTTGTGGACACCTTGAAGCGGTAATACCTGATATTCTAGTTTCTCGTTGAAGCATTGCAAAATGTAGGAAATTTGAAATATTTTTATCGATTTAGGTTTTATCGATTTAACGTAGGTAATAGTCCACATTGGCGTACTTAGCGGGGCATACTCACGCTGTCGTCGCAATCACAGAAATGGACGAAGCCGAGTTCTCGCGCCGCCTTGCGCAGTTCCCTGTGGTGCGGAAGAAGACGCATTGCCGCGTGGCATGGAAATCGGAGGTACAAAACTCATGTGGAGAGTTGTTTGATCTTATGTGTTTGAATATGAAGACGGAAGTCAAGACTGTTTCGTCCATCACCGAGCTGGGTGAAGGTACGTTCCAATGGAACGACGACAAATTCATGGTCGTGGTGCCACAGGAGCGAGTAAGCGGCCTCGCGTGGACATGCCGTTCAACACGGCCTTGGAAGCGTTTTTGGAGGAATTCTTCACGCCTGCGGAATCGGGCCGCATTCGGAAGGAATTTGAAAAGGTATTCCGAACGCCTTTCATTGCATGCTCACAAGATTGTAGGCCCAAACAGCATTCCTCAACGGACTGTGCCTGGAAGACATGGAAGAGATTGCCGCTCAATTCAAAGCAGCGGCGACGACTCCAGTGCCTTCCCCAGTACCCGCGCTATCAGCTCCGAGCAAGAGCACAATCCCCAACACGTGGTAATGACATAAATATGGATTATCCTGGCAGTTGGTTCAAGCGGTGCTGATACGAAAAATTGTGTTTCTATACGATCGTGAATGAGCCAGTCCGCGGCATTGACGCGTTCGTACCTCGGTGATCTCGGAAAGGACGTCCATGTCGAGAAAGGGTTGCGTTGACAGCGACGTGATGTACGTGTTCCACACGTTGCTCGGGGTATCGAAGTGGAGCGAGTTCACCGCCGTTTCCTATGCGCGTATGCAACGTGAGTGAGGTGCAAGGAGCTGCTGTAAGAAGTCGTACAATGTGTTGGAACTCGGCTTCGTACATGTCGATTTCGACACCGATGAATCCAATGTAGTCGCGTCGGGAGCACAGAGGAGCGTTCCCGTCCATTCTATCTGCTTGGGATCTCTTCGTTTCTTGATAAATGGCATACATGTCAAGAAGAATCGCTTCCAGTTTTGCAGGCATCTCTTGGATGGACGCAAACAGCTCCTCGACGGAGAATGGGTCCATGGGGCGATTGAGAACAGCACTGTCGTTGACAGAGAGCTTCCCACGCATGGAATCGAGTTGACCGTGGAAGGACGAGAGCTTTCGGAGAAGGACGTCATGTCCATCCTGCCACTCCTTGCACTTCTTGCGGAAGCGGAGGTACCCTTCCATGAGACTTCGCGCTTCCTCCGCTGTGGTGTGGTGCTTGCGACTTGTGCGAAAATTCATCGAATTCCTCAGAGATTTTCATTTAAATGAACCAAACTTTGGCATGTTTTTCGATTATTTTCGCCAGATTGCACATTTCCGGATAAATCCAAATTCGATTGCTGGATTGGTGGAAATCCACCCAATGAAACCCCTGGATGGCGGCACCAGTCAAAGGAGGCACCACTGGCCCACCCTCATCGTGACCTTCGCTGGACCATGTTCGCTCTCCGACATGCCTTTAGCCGCATGGCCGTCGCGCCGACAGCCTCGGTCGCGCGTTTCTCTTCGTACGGGCCTGCTGGCACTGCCGCTCTGATCGAGCCTGTGCGCCTCAACAACTTGGCCGACAACCCGGGTGCTGCTCGCAAGGGAAAGCGCCTCGGTCGTGGTATCGGCTCTGGCAAGGGCAAGACTTGCGGCCGCGGTCACAAGGGTCAAAAGGCCCGCAGTGGTCGATCGGGTCCTGCTCTTGGTTTTGAAGGTGGTCAAACTCCCATCTACCAACGAGTGCCGAAACGTGGGTTCAACAACAAGTGGGCCACCCCCATGGAGACTCTGAACGTGGACCGTTTGCAACTGTTCATTGATATGGGCCGCGTCGACGCGACCCAAACGATCACGATGAAGACGTTGGTCGACTGTGGACTGCTTACCACTTCCCGTGTGAAGCACGGGGTGAAGCTGCTGGCCAAGGTTGGCTCTGCATGTCGTTCCTGTGAACGTACGTTGACTTGAATTGTAGGGCAAGTCTGCGTTGACGTCACCCGTCACGATCGAGGTGTCGCAGGCGTCCCAAGGCGCGATTGAAGCCGTGGAGAAGGCGGGCGGCTCGATCAAGTCAGTGTACTACAACCGATTGGGTCTGCGCGCTCTCCTCAAGCCGCACAAGTTTGAAGGCAAGCCGATGCCGCAACTCGCCCGCCCTCCGCCCAAGAAGTTGGGATATTACACGGACTTTGAAAAGCGAGGGTATCTCTCGGCGGAAATCCAAACCCAGGAAGCGCTCAAGAAGATTCAATCCGCTTCTGCTTAAATACAACGTGCAGAATGAACCTGTCCATGCATTTTCGTACTCGTCGGCCTCTCCCACAAGGGAAATCGATGCTCTGATAAACATCAGAGCGACGGAAGCAAGTTGGCGCGATTGACTCGACGAGCCATGGTTGTTTTCAGTGTCCATGAGCTCGAGGACGACAAAGGGCAGCGCGCGGACGAACATGCCACGTGCCTGTCGGTGCAGGGCCGTGAATGTTCAATCTCAGCAGCGTCTGTGGAGCTCGCACCCAGTGATGACAACCAAGCGATGCCTCTCTAGAACGGAATGCAAGCATGCTAGCTGCGACGTGCCCGGTGAGGATGGAAAGATCGGACGAGCTTATGATGATCGCCAAGTCCATTGAGATGAAGTACTAGTAGTCGCCTTTGTCGCAAGTCGTACAACGGGTACAGCTACTTGGCGCAGGGTGCACCGAGTTCAACGTGCACGGGAATCCCTGCCACAACCAGTCCTCCATCTCGGTCCACTCTCGGGGTTTCGGGCGCAGACCCGTGTGGAATGGCATCCTCGGTGGGGGTATCCCTCAGCTCTTGGCCCCCGTTGTCCCATCCATGACAGAGCGAGGTCCAATATCCATTGCTGGGTTTTCTCTTCCAGAGCTTCAATGCACTCCACGTGCAAGTGCTATGATCGAATCCCGACGAAAGCTTCCTGTTCTACCTCACACTTGTTGGGCCTCCGCCCGAGAGACCGCGTCCAATTCCAGGCGACTAGTCCGTACATCGAAACCCCCCGACATGCCATTCGTTCCAATTGGACGAAATACGTGGACGATGGATGAATCTCGGATTTTGCGACGAAAAGCAGCGCTTCCTTCGGGCCAAGTGGCTGGGTACGCTCGGTACATTGAAATAGCTCTCCACGACGAGCGAGGCATGCTTGCGGGCCTTACAGTTTGGAGCCCAGAGCCATTCCCTCGAGGGATGTCCAAGGCAGCAACCCGGAAAACGAATCTGATCTGGCACAATTTCGAATCTTGCTCTTCAGCTGAGATTCACTGCAAGTTACTACAATTCAAAACGCCGGCATGCCAACAACGCCACTCCAATATGCCAAGTCGTATGCCGAGTTGGCCGATCACTTCACCAGCCTCCGCCGCCGCCGCGTCGAAGTCGAAGCCAAGGCGCGTGCGGCCAGGCAGGAGCACATGGATAATCCCCTCTCCCCGTCAAGCATCACCGGCTACAAAGGCGGACGCAAAAGACATTCGTCTACGTTGGCGGATGCATCCCCGATCAAGCTACCCCGCTTTGCGCATTTCCCCTTTATGACCAAAGGCATCATCGACCTGCCAGCTCCATTGGCCACGTAGTCGAGGTGCCACTATTTAATGTTCAAGTGCCCTGGGCAAGACTCAGGTTCCAAAGTCGTACATCAGAGGCGGAGCCATCACATGCAGTGGCACATTGCGCTCGCCATGCTTGGAATGCCCCCCCCCGACGCGACCGTTTGTTCTCCGTTCTGTATGTTCAGTCAGATGCACGATTGGCACGTCGCCACCTCGATGTGCGGACTAGAGAGATTCAAGATCAGTTATAGTTGGGTTACGAGTGTGCATGAACTCTCCTAGATCAGGGTTGCCGTGCATCTTGTGCAATTGACGAGAGATGGCCATTTTCCAACTTGAGCCCGTGGCTCCGTTTCGCGTGAGTAGACCATGGCAGCAGAAGCATCCTCTCGCGCGTCGCGGCTGCACTCCGATATGCAGCCGCAAGACCTTGTGCAGATTTTTCACGTCCTCCAGCAGCGGCGGCAGGCCATGGCGATGAAACGACATCAAGTCATGGTCGTGCACGATGGTCCGCTGCCCTGCCACCCAAAGCCACGCAGCGACTTGGACTCGACGACGAGGTCCAAAAAACGCAAGGAATCTCGCCACGACGGCATGTTGCCGACCCTCAAACTAGCCAAGGCATCCCCCGATTGCTCTAATGAATTCAACCACGAGCTTCGTCTCCCCACGACAACGTCCGCAATGAGCCATCGCGAAGGCCGTCTCCGTGTTAGGAGTGTGTGACTTTATCGCAAACAGAGTGAGTTTGAAAGCCGCGTTGGTCGTCCCCTCATCACGCTGCTGCCTGGACGCACAGCTGCGCGCCGAGACATCGATCGAATCCAATGGTGCTGGGCTGGCAACTCCGCCCAAAGAAAGCATATACGATATGCCCGACATTCCCTGTGATTCGTGAACGCGAGCCTATGCTACGACTGCGACCATGACGGTGGCCCTGAAAACCACCTTGCAGTGTGAAGGCCATGTACCGAGTGGGGGGCACTCTGGCGTTTGCGCGCAACTGCCCCACGGCGCAACAAAGATGCGATGGATATGGGAATAGAATCTCCAAAGACGAGCTGTGAGCAACGTGTGGCATAACTATGTGCCTGCGCTCCTCTAGAGTTGTGATCGTTACATCAAGTGGCATGCTATCTTCCCCGCCGCCCGTTCGCGGCAGCTCCCCTGGGGGCCTTTGCCCTTGAAACATGCCCGGGCGGCCCGTGCAAAGCGTTCACTTGGGGGGGGGAGTTCAAGCGAGGTAGTTGTGGTGACGAGGGCGTGTATTTCACAGATGTGCAACTCTCCGCGCTGTTTGAGATTCGATTGCCGTCGTTTTTATACTTAAGCCCCTGTCTGCCATTGGACAGTGTGGTCTGGGGGGTGGCGCGGACCACTACTTCGTTATTTTACCCCTGCTTTATACATGGCCCCCTTCGCCTCCGACTTGGCCGCGACGACATCGCGAGTGTCGAGGCTGCATGCGGAGCTCCCCTGCTTAGACATCATGCACATGTTCCACCTCTTGAAGCAGCGCCGCCATGGGGTCCACGAGAAACGACAGGAGGTTCTGAGAGAGGAAACTTGGCAGCAACAGGCCACCAAGAGGAAGTCTTCGGACTGCGACGGACCACACACGGCAGCGATGGTCAAGCGCGCACGACAGCTCGAGTTTTCAACGCTCTTCACACAAAACGAGGTGGTGCCTGTCCTCGTGGATCGCCGCTCGTGAAGCCCCCATGCAAGAATGGCCCATTAATAAAGACGCGTTATATTCTCCATTTTACCACGTCGGAACGTGACAAGACCATGTTGTAGTGTGGCTCACTCCGAGGTTCCAAAGATATCATGTGCAGGAAGGCTGGCAGAAGGACGTGCAGTAGCAGTAGTGTGCTGGGAGCGATAGAAGGAGAGACGAATGACCTCGCAAACTAGCGTATCAGCATAAATACACGCGCCCGTGAAAACCCCAACACGAGTTTAAACATGGATGCATGCCCCAAGAGTATCATCGCGGTTAGTAGTAGTAATACTAGTTCGCGTCGGTGTTGTCGTCCACTAGTACTCCACTTGGCCCAACGATGAAGTACTCCGATCTGTGCTACATGCCGTTTTCCGACGGAAATGCAGTTGATCGATGGCCTCCCTGACGAACAGATCGCAACAAGTTCTTGGGGTGGTGGCCTTCAAAAGTGGGGGTTGAATGGCACCTGACTCAGACACAAGCCCAACACGTTTCGGAGCGCCACAGAGCTCTGTTCATCGCCGCAACTTCTGTAGGCGTCAACGCTATCCCCACATGGACGACCCCCCCCGCGCGACAACGCTAGATCCTTTCGCTCTCAATGTTTTGCATGCTGGAGAATTCTTGCAACACGGGCGTAAAAACTTCGCTCGCAACAGTCGCACGAACTGTCACCGCGCCGCCTGTCGAGGATCAAGCGGATTCGCTTGGGTGGAGGCACGAGACGGCTTCGAGATGGACTGACGTGGACGTTTAGGAGCGTCCATCCATGGAGGTCATCCTCGTCGGCCATCGTCATGGGAACAATGCTCGGATGCTGGAGCCACATTTCAGATCCTAATTTGAAAAGGCACGGAGTGATGCTGCAGCTGGAGAAATGTACAGGAGGACAGTGTCATGTCATTAATCTTCGTCTAAATTCAAGCCCGGGATCAAGTCCGTCTTGTCCGCACGCAAACGCGTCACTTCATCAATCAACATGGTCATGATCTCGTTCTTGTCAGCCATCTTGATACGGCCGTTGTTCATTAGCGCTTGCTTCATGATGGCAAACGCTTCGTAGTCCGGATCATCTTTGGGCACATCCACGCTCATCGTGGGCAGCTGCACGTCCCACACCGACGTGTATCCCATGCGACGGAAAGCTTCCTTCAGCACCAGTTCGCGCTCGTTGTCTTCCAACTTACCACCCTTGGGGATCTGGATCAAGTCCATCCACAGGTCCGAACCAGACGTAAGCGGCCACGTCTTGTCTGCCATGATCATTTCGTTTTCGACACGACCGCGGACAGGAATGTAGTCGGACTCTTCTTCGTTGTCGTCGTCAGAGTCCATGACGGATTTGAACTTGCCATACTCAGAGTCGAGCTCTTCGTCAGTAAAGAACACAGGGGCCGCTACGCCGGTCCCCGCAGACAAATCGGCAGTCTTCTTGCGCAACTGCTCGATTTCTTCCGTTTCCGTGAACCCGGTGGGCTTTTGCGGGGCGTTGTCAAGTGCCTTCTGGAACAAAGACTTCTTTGCCTTTCCTTTCTTAGCTAACGCTTCCTCCGTCGACAGCGTCGACAGGTGTCGGCTCCATCCAGACACCGAGCGACGCACAGACCTAAGGCTTCGTTGCATCATGGCGATTGATTGATGTCCGCCAGTGAACAAAGAGCGTTGTCGAAGGGCCAATCCAAATCCGTTCTTTCAAGTGACTCAAGATATTGTCGAGTGACCCGGCATTGACGAATCATCGCTATGGAAATTTGAATGCTGCTTAAGTGACTTATGATATGTTCTAGTGACTGCTTCTTTCCGGATATTGTGAACACGTCGACGCGAGAAATTTGACATGATGCAGATATCCTGAGCTGTGTAGCTGGAGGGGAGGCATGGTGAAGCAGTTTATCGACCTGTTCAGTGGCTATGTTGGCCGCGCGTGCATTCAACAAGGTCAGGCCGAATGACAGGACGGCGCAGTGGGTGATAAAACCTGCACATGGAATAAAACTTGGTTCATTGCAATATCGTAAATGGGTTAATTTCATTGCGTATGAAGCATTCTGTGGGCAGAGCCCCTACGCCAGCACAGGACAGTATCACTGTACGGGCAACGCGAGATTTATTACCTCCCAGAGAATTTACGCTGTTCTTGACATGCTCAAAGTCAACAAAATCTGCATCTGGGAATTGGCATCTTGTATGCGTTCTTTCTCCCTGCACAACTCTTGGATGCACGTTGATCTGCGACTGTGAATCATCTACGTTGATTCATAGTCGCATAAGGGAAAGAGAGAGCGAACAGTCTTCAAGAACAACTTGGATTTTTGCCTCGTGTGGAGCATTTTCGTGACCACGTCGGAGAATTCTGTCTTTAACGTGTTTCTTTGACCAAACGAAAAACAGGTTATATAAGATCGAGTTTTACCTCGGATCGCCATTTGATGGAGGAGCATCACAATTGGAATTGTAACCATGCTGCCTGCGCGGTCCATCGTTGAAGTGGCCGTCTTGGGCGCAGCATTCGCCCTTGCCTGGACTTCCGTGCGCAGTCAGAGTAAATCGAACAAGGTAAACCAGCACGCGCCGAAGAAACCCCTGCCGGCGCACACCCAACGCGTACAGTCGGACCTCACGGAAGCACAACTCGTGTCGGAGAGCTTCACCCTGGCACGCCGACCGTCCGATGGCAGCACCGACGATATCCTCGTCATTGGGGTATGTGGTGGCTCTGGGTCTGGGAAGACGACGTTGTCCAAGGCGATCATTGACGACATCGGAGACAACGCTGTTTCCTACCTGTCACACGATTTTTACTACAAGGACCTGTCGCACCTGTCGATGGAACAACGCGCGGAGCACAACTTTGACCACCCCGATGCGTTGGACACGGCGTTGTTGGTGTCTCATCTCGCCAAGCTCAAGCATGGCATTGCGTGCGACATCCCCATGTACGATTTCTCGACGCACTCACGATTGGCGACCACACAGCACATGACTCCAAAGTCTGTGATCCTCATCGAAGGCATCCTTCTCTTTACAGACCCCGAACTCGTCAAACTCATGGACATTAAGGTGTTTGTCGAGACGCCGTCGGACGTGCGGTTCATCCGGCGACTGAAGCGAGACATCCGCGAGCGTGGACGCACCGCCGAGTCTGTCATCGAACAGTACATGACGACAGTGCGTCCCATGCATCTTCTCTTCGTGGAACCAAGCAAGCGCGTCGCAGACATCCTCGTGCCCGTGGGCGTAAACGCCGTCGCTCTCGAGCTCATCTTGTCGCGGTTGAGAAGCTTTATGAATAAGTCTGCATAATCCAACCATTCGCGAGAGACTCCTTTGGCGTTGACAATGCACTCCACCCGCCTGAGTAGAGAAGACTGCTTGTCAAACGTTCACCGTTGCAGCGGACGCGGCGCCACGTCGAGCTGGCATCGGATCGTGCATTTGCCACACGTTAATTTTTCGAGAAATTCAAACCATCGTTGCACCAAGTTAACACAATTATATTAATATACGCCACTGGTACTTGGCAATTTATATCTGCCAAAACTGCAGGGACTGCAAGGAGCGCTCGTCGAGCCTGCTCACTCATGTAGGCGACGTCTTGTGTCGCAGTGGCGTCTTCCAGGCGCGGTACGTGCTGCTGCAAAGGTTCTTGGCCGATAGCAATCAGCTGACATGTCCATTATCCGCTGAAACCACAAACCATACGCTCAAACACCAAGTTGGTTGATTGTCCTTATCTATTGTGTGTGGCAAATCTCGATGTTTATTTGAAATACGAAATTTTACGAGTCTTCAAGGGTGCCCAGCGCAAGCGTTTGTAGTACCCGGTCAAGAGGGCGGCGGCAAAGAGGCCAAGGCACCATTGCATACCCATCTTCTTGCGTTCGTCGTGCTCGGGTTCGGCGGCCCAGGCAAGGAAGATCGACACGTCCTTGGCCATTTGGGAGGCAGTGGCAGGGGTGCCGTCTTCATACGTGACCTTGCCATCTTCCAATTGCTTTTCCATCGCAATAGCTCCGCCACCGAAGTACGGGTTGTAGTACAACCCGTTGCCGAGCTCCTTGCCCTCGGGGGCATCCACGTAGCCAGTCAAGAGCGCGAACAAATAGTCGGCACCGGCGTGACGAGCCTTCACGATCAACGAAAGATCAGGTGGGATCGCACCGTTGTTGGCGGCAGCGGCGGCTTCGTCGTTAGCATACGGCTTAGGCAAGGGGTCGCTCAACTTCCCGGGGCGTTCGAACATCTCGCCTTCGTCGTTGGGGCCGTCGACGACATCGACGTCTGCGGCAAGAGCCTTGGCTTCATCTTCGGTGTGGGTCACACCGACCAAGTGACGGAAGTGGATCTTGTCGATCGAGTGGCAAGTAGCACATACTTCCTTGTACACTTGGTACCCACGACGAACCGCGGCGTAGTCGAACGAAGTCAATGGGCCGTTATGCTCGAAGCCATAGTGCAACGCGGGAATGCTGTCGTCACTGCAGGCGGCAACACCTGTGAAGACAGAGCCTCCGATGGCGGCAGTTCCGGCGGCGGCGGCGGCCTTCTTCAGCGCCGGGGACTGGACGATGCGCTTGAACATACTAATCCCAGAAGCAAAATGCTTTTGCACCACTCAAGTGAGGAGTCGGGTGCTAGAACCTGTTAAATTCTATACATTTTCTTCCGCCGTGAAATTGACTTGTACGGGGACATCGGCGGGATGCGACGCACAATCAACAGATCAAAAGTGCTTGAACATAAATTTATACAGTATATGCATTTTGAGATTGTTCCCCTACCCCACGCCACTTTCAGTCAGTTTGTTATGAACCACAGAGTTCGACCAATTGCCGAGCAAAGACACGTCGCCATGGCCGAGCTGCGAGACGGAAGCGCTGGCTGTGCATGAGAGATTGCAAGATGCAATGGGATAGATGGCCTCTTGTACGTTCTCGCGGGTTGTTTGATATCGCGTTGTGTGGCGGATATTCTCAAAGTTTTACCTTATCGTCGCCACCTCAAAAGAATCGGCCAACTACGATTTCGGTGCTGTTTTCTTGATTGCATTCTGCCTTCGCTCACTAGCTCGATAGAGTTCTAGTGTGTATTATGTCCCCAGTTGAGATGGATTGTGCCAACAGGGACACCCGTGCACCTCGTCCTGCGCGTGGTCGCTTCGAAGAGGAATTCCAATGTACCCTCGGTCAATTCCAAACGAGTAAACCAAGTTCCCAAGTACACTTGTCAAAGCCAAACCCATTTTTAAATATTTTAAAATAGAGTAGGAGAGAATTCGACTTGTTTCTATTACTCCGAAAATATTTCAAACGAATAAAAAATTCCTTCAACTTCCGCATCCCGTAACATCTCGCCTGATTTCGACACCATTCATCAAGAAGATGCGCAGGTTCTTCTCGTCGACTGCTGTCGGTGCGTCTCGGCAATCCCGCCTCGAAGCATTGCGTGCCCAGCTGGCGGAAGAAGCTGCCAAGGTCCGTGAACCCATCGTCTCGTGGGGAGACAATGTTCTTCGTGCGGAAGACCTTGCATCCCCCGTGAAGCCTTCACGTCGACCTAGCGCGTCGAACCGCAAGCCCGACTGGCTCAAGGCGCAACCCACGACTGGAGAAAACTACATTCGTCTGCGCGATACAGTCCGCTCGCTGAAGTTGGCGACAGTGTGCGAAGAAGCCCGTTGTCCCAACATTGGAGAATGCTGGGGAGGTGGGAAGAACGGGACTGCCACTGCGACAATTATGCTCATGGGTGACACGTGCACCCGCGGGTGCAGTTTTTGCGCCGTGAAGACAAGCCGCCGTCCTCCTCCGCTGGACCCCAACGAGCCTGCAAACGTGTCGAAGGCGATTGCGCAATGGGGTCTCGACTACATCGTGTTTACTAGTGTCGATCGCGACGATTTGCCTGACGCTGGCGCCGAACACTTTGCCTCCACCGTACGAATTCTCCCGATGCCGCCTCCTGACGTGTTGTATTCAGGTGCGTCATTTGCGAGCGGCCCTCCCGGAGATTCTGATCGAATGCCTGACGCCCGACTTTTCCGGCCGCGTCGACCTCGTCGAAACGGTGGCCCGTTCTGGTTTGGACGTGTTTGCGCACAACATCGAGACGGTCGAGCGACTGCAGCGCCGCGTGCGCGATTACCGCGCCAATTACCGCCAATCCCTCCATGTGCTCGAGCTTGCGAAGGCTGCCCAGCCGTCGTTGATTACCAAGACGTCCATTATGCTAGGTGTCGGCGAATCCCCCGAGGACATCATGCAGACGCTCAAGGACCTCCGCACGTCGGGCGTGGATGTTGTGACGTTCGGCCAGTATCTCCGTCCCTCGACCAAGCACATGCCGGTCGCCGCGTATATCACGCCCGAAGCGTTTGCGGAATGGCAAAAGGTCGCCGAGAGCATGGGGTTTCTGTATGTAGCGTCTGGCCCGATGGTGCGGTCGAGCTACAAGGCCGGCGAGTACTTTCTCACGAACCTCCTTCGCGGCAAGAAGCAGCACGCATGAGCCCATGGACGCCGCCGCTTCTGTGCACGCCGTCACTTAGAGTTATGTATATGTCCCCATGTCGCAAGTATTCTTCCGCGGATATATAATTCTTCGCTACATCGCGCGCATAATGTACTTGTACTGGTTCATCTGCTTGAGGGAGCCCTTCTGGACCATGCCGCGGATGGCGCGCTGGATTGCATTTGGATTGTGTCCCTGGCGAAGGTTGAGAGAGGAAGGAGATGCGTGTGGAGCCTGTACCTGCGACTCGAGCTTCGTGTACAGCGCGGTCGTGTCCATGCGCACCCCAACATGCACCATCTTCAGAATAGCGTCTTCGACGACGGCTGCTTTTTCGTGGAAGGCGCCAAAGAGACCTTGGGTCCCGCCGTCTTGCGATGCGTTCATCGTCGAGACCTTGAACAGTCGGATCGCCTCCTCGACGTTCTCTGGGGACACTTCGATCTTCAGATGCATCTTGGCCAGACTCTCCGAGATGCGCACCAACGCTTCCAGTTGCCGGACTGTGATGGGAATCGCACGCGCTTTCTCATCCTGGCGTACTGTGTCGCGGACCTGAACGTAAAAGTCCTGGAGGGTCTGCGTCGCCTCCATGGACAGCCGGGGTGCAATGCGCTGCCGACAGTATGTGATGAAGCGCTTCATGAGGGCCGGCTCAATCTCCTAAGCGTGTTCGTTCACCCATCCGAGTGCGCGCTGTCACACTATACACACCCCATGCGCGTCCTGCAGCGTCTGGTTGAGCTGGTTCGTGTGGACCCGGACTACATGCGCCGCCATGTTGCGATCGCGAGTCTCGTCTTGAATGTCGCGCACGATGAAGATCAAGTCAAAGCGACTCAGAATTGTACTCATGAGATCGATGTTGTCGGACGCGCTGCGCATGTCGTCGTAGCGGCCAAAGACAGGATTCGCCGCCGCCAGCACGGACGCCCTGACGTCCAAACATGAATTGATACGTCAAAGGAAGAAAACATTGTATACCGTGAGTTGAGAATGGTAGTGATCCCTGCCTTGGCAATGGATATCGTTTGCTGCTCCATGGCTTCGTGGATCGCGACGCGGTCGCTCTCGCGCATTTTGTCAAACTCGTCAATGCACACGACGCCGCCGTCTGCGAGCACCATCGCGCCACCCTCTAGGAAGAACTCGCCCTTTGCGTCCTTGATGACGGATGCCGTTAGCCCAGCTGCGGAACTGCCTTTCCCGCTCGTGTACACTCCGACGGGGGCCACCTTTTCAGTGAATTTGAGAAACTGGGACTTGGCGGTGGATGGATCTCCAAGGAGCAACACGTTGATGTCACCACGCAGCTATGCTGAATGGTCAGCTACCGGCGGAGAGAACGAGATGCGTACAATCATGCCATCGGGAAGCCGCTTTCGACTACCCCCGATCAAGAGGCACGCGATGGCTTTCTTGATGTTGACGGTGTAGTCCCCATAGATGCTCGGTGCGATCGAAGCCGACAGTTTCTCGTACAGGTTTGGGTCGCGCGCCATGTCGGCAAATATTTCTTCTTCTCGTGGGGTAAACACAACTTTGGCGCGGCCTGCACCCTCTTCGTTGATCTGCACGTCGACGGGATGGTGAATGAGGGGCCATGACATGGACACGTCGTACCTCGATCCCAACGACGCGGAGATAGGGCGTGCGGATGGCCACGGCGCCGACCTGCTTCTTTGCGTTGAATACAGACGAGATCCCGAGGACTGAGACGCGGGTGCCGGGGGACGCTTTGTCCACCAAATACCTGCGCCAGGGTTGGAAAACGACAGATTCGTGCAACGTACCGGTCGCAAGAGAGAAGCAAGTGGCGCGGCATTTCCCCCGTCGGCACGACTTCCGGACTCTCCTGGAGCTTCAGGGTCTGCTGGTCGACGTACGTGCACTTGTCAGGCATGATAACATAAGAGTCCTTCGGACAGTCTTGCTGGAGCACGCCCATGTTGCCTTCCGCGTCGTTTTGTGCGCGGCGATCGCAGTTCCGAGGGACGGCGACACCCTAATCAAGGAAATACGCTATGATGGCATGGAGGCGGAAAAACGTGCCTGGAATGCACTCGGACAAGCAAGGTGTTTGACATGGCCGCAGTTCTTGCACTGCACCGTGATGCTCATGCACTTGGCGCGCACTTTCGACGAGCTGATAACAATACCAGGAACCTTGACGAGGCGATTCACCTGGGATGCGTGAACATCTCGCAGCCGCATGCTTTCCATCGCTGCGCTCTTGAGCACAACCTGAATCGGGTGCGACTGTTGCTGCTGTTTGGCAACTTGTGCGGCCGCAGTCTCAAGGAGTGGCAACATTTGCGCGGGCTTGGACAGAAACATGTCTCCCAACTCGGCGTCGAACGACGTGAGGTCGCGCAGTTCCACTTCGAGCACGAGGTGTGACCGACGAATGTGCGATGTCAGTTGCGCGCGGTAGACAAACGTGTTTTCTTCACGAAAACCTCGAAGGAAGCTCACGCATCGACGAGTCAAATCATACGACGACGTAGAAGTGGAAGCTCCACCGGCCCCTGGCGCTCCAGGCTGTCCGCCTCCAGCCAGCGAAGAAACGGCGCCGCGGTCCCAATCCATGCTGCAAAAGCCGCCAAATTGGCACCGCAAATCCGGATGACGGGAAAATGCTCGTCCGGATAGCACTCTTGTCAGTTGTTTGCCTCCAATCAAATTACCTCATTTCATTCTTTGTTCAAGTTTTTATCCAATGAAAAAATTTCAAATGGCATTTAAAATATCCATTAAGCACAATTTGTTTAAATATCGTTTCTACACTCGACCTTCTTGACGCCGGATCAACGTAGCTTTCCAAGCGGCAAGTGAAGTGCGCGGGGCTGCGGAGATGCTTCGCCTGACGGCTGTGCTTCATTAGATCGATCAGGTCCGCGTCGTTGAAGATGTGGACCACGCCACACATGCGCGCGTTCCCCCATATTGGAAATACGCTTCGGACACTTTTCCAGTGAGAAGAAAAGGATCCGTTGAGTGGCGACTTGGTTGGCAAACATGTTGCCCATGCACGACGGCGCAGTTCCAGGTAGTTGGAGTTGTCCACGTTGATTTCAATGGGAAAAGGAATCGGCAGTGGGTGTTGTGGTATACTTGGCGTCGCAATCCGTGTGCATTTCCGTCGTCTGTGCCATTGGGACTCTTTTGGGGATGAAAACAAGGACACGTCACTGTGAAGGAGCACGTAGGCAAGTCACGTCTGAAGGTAGTTGCAAATGTGCGACTTCACTTGAGTCCATCGCGCACTTGGATTCATGAGGTCTTGGAAGGTTTCGGGGCGCAGACGCGATGACACCCCCGTCCAAGTTCACAACGTTCAACCCTTCTAAATTCGGGGTTTCGAGTTTCAAGTGAAAAAAATTCGTCAAAAATGTTCTAAAACCTTCGGGACCTGAGCTGCGCCACCAACGCATGGCCAGCTTGTGCGCAGGACATTCACCACAACCGCGGACACAATGCGACATTGTCAAGGTGTGGCGGACGAACAACAGTGGCGGCAACTTGACGTCATCCAGGCGTGACTAGGTTGAGCTGGCACGGACCTACACGCAACCCGAGATCATGTAGCTTGTGTACGAAATGCAGAAGACACAGCGCGACACCATGCGCGAGATTGCAAAGCCACCGGCCTGTTTCTTGGATGGCCCGCTCGAACTCGGATCGCCTCGCGTCATTCAAGTCTATTTGAACCAATAACATGCACGAATTTTGAAATTGTGCCAAGGATGTGACAATGCCCTGCAAATGCGTGACTTCGTCGGTTTATTAAAATACAATGGGCAACTAACTCACTTCTTGCCTCATCTCCCCAACCAATCGCTGGATCGCCGAGTTTTTTTCCCACGCCCCTGCGCTTTTTTGAAACGTCAAGCCAACAATTGCCAAATATTTTAATTGGAAAATGTACAGGAGCTGGACGACCACTCCACGAAAAACTCAACTCGCCCTTTACGATCCAGTATTTCACAACCAACGACGTGGTTGTGCGGATTGCCATGGTGCGGCTTTCTTTCGTCCCTACCGCAACAGCGATGATCGTTTACGTGCCTCGAAGCAACTCGCACGATGTTTCTTGTCCGCTTGGATGCACCATGATCGTAGCGCCGTCACGAGCGTGCTGTACGCGGATGCGTGCCTTCGTGCGGTCGACCGCACAGATTTTATATCCAATTGCAGATGACGACCAGACGACAGGATGGAGGAGGAAATTTTGATGTTTTCGATGCCCATTTCATCTTGGTTTGAATGATGTATTGTCAAATGAAGGATACAACGTGCTTGACATTTTTTCGTCTTGAACCGTTGGAACTTTGCGTTCCAGTTGTTCATTTCCGCATTCCCGTCGACCCACCATGGCGCACGTCCTCCGTTGGCTCCTTCTGGTTGCGTGTCTTGTGCTCCAAGTGACATGCGAATTGCCCACGGACCTCCGCGTCCGCCGTGAAATGGTCCCTGTGGGGAAGCCCCATCCGAATGCGAATGGGGAAATCGTGCAAGACACCCAAGAAGTCATCACGGTGGTGGACCCCGAAGAGGAAAAGGAGAACCGCGACAAGCAAGCTAGTGGTGTGGTGGTCAAGGGAGGAAAGTTCAAGGCGCGTCGGCAATTTATCTTCACAGGAATTGCAGCGGTGGTCAAAGGCGTGACACTTGCGGCAAAGTTGACCAAAGCAGTGTCGGTTGGCGCCAAAGCCGTCAAGGTGGGGGCAACTGCCGCAAAGATGGGTAAAGTGGCCACGGGGGCAGGCAAAGTGGCGGCCAAGGCAAAGAAGGTGGGGGCAGTCCTCAATAAGGTGCAAGGTGTTGCGAACAAGGTGCACAAGGTGGCCAACAATGTTCGCAACGGAATTAACCACGTCCGCAACGCCGTACAAAGACCTCGTGGACGCCGCCATTAGGTCGTCAAGTATACAGGCACCAAGGAAGAAGCAATCCTTATTGTGATATTCATCGTGTGATGGGAATGCTGGGCGGAGACCCTCCATCGCCGAAACCCAACGAGTGCGTACGCATGCAGGGCAAACAGTCGGTAGTTTGGTCCACTACGACAGAATCTTTTCGCGCTTCATCGTTCGGTCGTCAAATTTGACGAGGAACACAGTCTTCTCTCCGCCGCCGCCAGGAAGGTCGACTGAGTGGGCACTGACGTCGCAGTACTACGGAGACGCATCGTCATCACGAAAGCGGGATTGAAGACGCACAAAACCGCCCGAATCTAGGATGCCGCGGAGGACCCCCGCCGTGTACGCCGCGCAATTGAGCTGTCCCATGTCTGTGGGCACGGAAATGTACTTGTTTGTGAGCGGCGCATTCTCGTGAATCATGTCTATAGTCTCAATGAGGTTGACAGAACGGAAAGTGCGCATACATTCGTTCTCTTTCTCGGTGCTACGTTCGAGTGCATCCGCGGGCTTTCCAAAGAGTGTCTTCCAACACACAGACACGACAAACTGGAGCATGTTGATGAGACGAGTTTCTCGACGCAGCTTGTCCCTACGGCCAGTCTCGAATCAGCAACGATCAACCGTAGCATAAAGGGAGTACTTCGACACGTTTCCATTCACGTCGCGGTAGCTAAGGAGCTCCAACACGCGCACACCGACGCCATAACCCGCGGCCTCGAGTTTGCGCTCCAAGTCGCTGATGTTGAGCACACGACCTTGAAAGTACTGGACAAGTTCGCAGAAGAGGAACGAGAATGCGCTCTCGCTGACTTCCGCCTTGCCTCGGCCCACCGGCCGATCGAGGTGGCTCTTTTTGTTCAATCGCGCAGTCAACCCCGTCGCGGAGGTCGATGAACCTTGGCGTTCTTGCATCCTTCGGACAAGTTGTCGATATAAAATGCCGAAGGTTTCGCCATTCATCGACTTTGAGAAGTTTACCCACTCCGAACCCCGGCACTCCAGATTCTGCAATAAAAGTATAGCCGCACCACGTCTTGGCGAGGGACGTCGACGTCGTTGAAGTCATGCAGCAGCTCCAGTGTTGTCAAACTTGCTAGGGTGATCTTGCACACAGCCGTTGTATCGGAGCGGCTTCCGGAAAACTTCAGTCTATATCGGCCCCCGACGCCACCAAGTCTTCGCGATGGGGTTGGGCCCATCGAGTAAGCGTTTGCGGACGTGTCTGCGATAGCTTCCGGTGCCAACATGCACAACATGCGATAGCTTCCGGTGCCAACATGGCGACATCGTGCGGTTGGCCTATTTTGAGACTTGGAGTGGGCTCGAAATAGAGTTGCTGCTACACCTTCAGCGGATGCGACCGGATAATATCCGGAAGTCCCAAGATCTTGCTGTTTCTCTGCAGTTTGAAACCAAATCACCGCCAACCAGAGTATGGCGGTCGTTTCAAGCGAGCTGGGGGTGCTATATGGGCTCTACGCGGCCGCGGGCTTCATCTTGCTCTACTTCTCATACAAATACGCACGCAAGTACTACAACCAAGCGGCCTTCCTCCTGCCGGTACGTATTAGTTGACACTCGTGTGCGAGAGAGACGCCGACTCATTGCGTCGTAGCCGTTTGTGTGCTTTTGTGTCATCTACGAGAACATTGTGCTTGCAACGGTGGGTCTGAACAAGGAATACGACAGCGTCAAAGTCATGCTCGCATTCCAATGTACTCTCCATCGCGATGGACATTCGAGTCTCACCTGAATGTGTAGCGTGCATCATCCCTGCAATGCTGCTCATCTGCTTTGAAGTCGCATACCTAGTCCACAAAAACCGATCGGTCAACTTTTGTGGGATCTCGTTCGACTCTGGCCATCGCACCCACCGGGACGAGTTCAAGTCGACCTTTCTCCGCTTCGCCATGTGGGTCGTTGGCCTTGGATTGCTCACCCTCAAGCTGCTCGTGTACTACCGCTACTACGACGACATTGTGTTTACGTCGGGGTACGTGCGACGTTCGAATCTCTTGAGACCTCATGGTGCCATGCAGCATCTACGAAGTCAACGGGTCCGCGACTGTCGGTACCATCTTGACGATCATTCCAGCCTTCTCCCTCGTCATTCTATCCATCTACATTGGCATGCGGCTGTGGAACTACGGGTCCAATTACGCGTACACCGTCCACTCGACGTGCTTCAACCCGTGGATCTGGATGATGGTCGGGTCCTTCCTCCTTGCTGCGGGGTACCTCATGCCGGATCCACTCTTTGCTCGCACGTCCAACGGCGGCGAAATCTGCATGTTGGCTGCGATCATCCGCATGTTCCGCGAAGTTCACAAAGATTTGCAGGAAGGCGCGGATATCGCCATCACGCTTCTCGATGGATCCGCCGCGGGGCTCCATGACCACGCGGGATCGCCACGGAACACCCTTCAAGAGAGCCCGTCAACCTCGGGCGCATCGTCGAAGTACGATCTCATCGCGTCGCCCGTGCAGCGACGCACAGTAGAAGAGACTCGGCTCACAGACGCCAGTACGGAAGCATACTTGAGTGTAGTGATCGCGCGCACCAAGGAGTCCTCCGCGCCGCCACGAAAGCAAGCACTGCATGACGAGCTTTTCGACGTGTCGTTGGCGGGACCCCCGCCACCGAGGCTTACAGTGCCGATGCTGCAAGAAAAGGCGAATCGATCGACGAGTGTCTCGTCAACGGTACTCCCGTGGCCCGCGTCGGCAGACTCGGTCATGCCCGATAACGTCCACCGCAAGTCGTCCTCAATCTTTGACGAGATGCCGCTCATGGACTTCCCCCCGCAATTCTTTGGGAGCATGAAGGCAGAAACTGAAGCAGCTGTGGATGAAGTCGACACGCAAGTAGTGCTCCATGACGCTACGACCGAAAGCAACCCATCGTCACCTGACAACGCATCCGGGACAGACGGCCAATTTCTCAACAACTCGTTCGAGTTGATATCATCGCCATCCACGGAGCCACCAACTCTGGTTGCCCGCGATCAAGAAGACCTCGTCGATGCCTCGAGTGTAGTGCATTCATTCGAGCCAGGACTCGTCCAAGCGGTGGCGCCACTGGAAGTTGCTATTGACGATGCCGTGGAGCACGATGACGTTGCTGATGCAACAGCGCTTGTGGAAGCAGTTCCAGAGGACTTCACTGTCGAGGCCGATGAGCCAGCTCAAGTTGTGCATTCAACGGACGCAGATGCACCAAGTCATGGCGTAGCACCGGTAGTCGTTCCTGTGATTGGGGTGCCTCCTGCGCAAGTTGTGCATGGGTCTCGACAGATCGAAGCAGTTTTAGCCGTGGAGTCGGTGAAACAAGAAGCTACAGCGGCATCAGCAATCGACGAAGGTGTTGCGCAGCCATCTCAATCGAGTGTGGAAGTAGTGGTCTGCGAAGTTGGTCCATTGGTCGAGTCCCTCATGCTTCAAGTCGAAAAGGAATTCCAAATGGATTCACCACTTACCGATCCATGGGAGCACATTCACGCCGACGATGACCTGCTGCACGTCGAGGAAACGACATTGGACGCAAACGGTGCACCAAATCACGTCGAAGATCGTGCTGCGGAGGCAGTAGACGGGACGGCGCCATGTGAGTCCGTCCCAGCCGTGCCACAAACCTTCGACGAGATTCGTCCGAATGACGTCTTTGCTCCAGTTCAGATTTCATCCTCTCCTCTCGACGTTGACTCCGTCGAACCTCTGACAGTGTTCTCCATGGAGCAAGACCACAGCACCTCGCCATCTCCACTCCAACGCGACCCTGTTCCCGACCATTTTGACCATATTCCTCAAGACACACGACAGACTTTCGTGTTGGCCAGCCACACTTATTCTCCAGCTGCCCCCGACGACCAGGAGCATGGAGTATCTATTGTTGCAATTTCGGAGCCACAAGCTCCAGCTGAAGGGGATCCATTGGACCTGATGTTCTCCATGGTGGGAATGCCAGACAATGGCGCATCATCGCCGTCCGATCTCCCGAGTCCCATCGAGTCAGATAAGACAGCATAATATGCAGCCAACTTGCGAAAGAAGAAACCAAAGTGTTACGTCGATATTTAGTTTTCGTACACCCAGGCGTTGCGGGTGGCGTTCCATTCGGTGATGCCTTCAGGGAACCACAAAGCGATTTCGTGGTTGGCGGATTCCACCGAGTCGGAGCCGTGGCAGATGTTGCGGCCAACTTCGATGGCGAAGTCGCCACGAATGGTGCCGGGAGCAGAGTCAGAGGGCTTGGTGGCACCCAACATCTTGCGGCCTTCCTTGACCACGTTGAAGCCTTGCCAGACCATGGCGACCACGGGGCCCGAGTTCATGTACTCGATCAAGCCGTTGAAGAAGCCCTTGCCAGCCAAGTCGGCGTAGTGAGCCTCCAAGTGGGCCTTGCCCGGGCGGACCATCTTCAAGGCAACCAATTGAAAACCCTTTTGCTCGAAGCGCTTGATAATTTCACCAACAAGGTTGCGTTGGACGCCGTCGGGCTTGATCATGATGTACGTGCGTTCAGCCATGGTGAAGATGCGGTCGATTGAAGGAAGATTCAAAAGTGTGCGGCTCCCGTCGTCACCAAGTCACTGGAAGCGAGGCGACATCCGGATACACCTCCAAGACTGTACGGATAACCGTGCACAACGTGCAAAAACGCAAAATTATAGTCAAAATATCGCTCACGAGGCTTTTGTCAAAGGATCCGATAGAATGCACGATGCGCCATGCGACTCCCGATCAAGCGACGGCTTCGGTGGGCGATACGTTGTGCAGGACATGGGCAGTGGTGTCGCATGCGGAGGAGTGTGGGGCAACCGCCATCCACGACGCCACCCCGTCCTTGCTCGAATGTCCGGTCGTCAACTCGGTCATTCTTCACGACGATGGTGTTGACATGCAGCCCAACCGAAGATGGATCGACGCACGACATGTGCACGTAAATTCTATTCCTGAGCATTAAACATTCATGGCGCCACCGCTGCAGTCCTTGCAGTACCAAGTGCCAGACGGTTGCTCCGTGACTCCGACGCAGTCAAAGTGGAACCATTCGTACTTGCAGTCTTCGTTGTCGCACCCGATCATTTGGCCGTACGAGATCCGTCGGCAGTGGCAGTACAGTGGTTCATTCGGGTCGATGGGCAGGTCTTCCAAGACAGGAACCGTCAGGGCTGCAGCCTCTGGGATCGCTTCCATGTGGGCTTCGGCAGCATTGCGCTTGCGCCCACCAGTCTTTTTGTGGACAGCAGCCGGAGTAGTGGAGGTTGTCGCAGCGCTCGATTTCTTGTTTGACGAAGCTGCTACGCTCACTTGCGCAGCAGGTTCAACTGCAGGTTCTTTCTGCTTCTTCACTGGGGCCACAACGACCTTTTCATCTTCGTACTCCCCGTTTGCCTTGAGTAGAGCAGTATAGTTTTCGAGTTCGTTGTCAAGCCGTCGGATGTGGTGATCGATCAAGTCGTAGCTCTGGGATGCAATCGCGACCTTCTCGTCCATCTTCTGCACAACGAGATGCCGCTTCGCTCTCAGCTTTGCCAAAGGACTGGTGTCCAAGTCAGGGGGAACATCTGCGTCTGCTGATTCATCCTCGATTCCGACCAGTGCGCGCAGCTCGTCTTCTGTGGGTTCGGGTAAGGATGAATCGGAGCACCGCGCTCGGACGCGCTCCCTTGCATCGCGGAGGTACGTGCTCTGGGATTCGCGTAGACTATCAAGGAGGCCACTAGTCGCCTTGTCTAGCTCTCGCATGAGATCGAAGTTTCGCTTCACCTCCGACGGGAGCATGTAGATGCTCTCGAGGTAGTCTTCCAAGTACGTTCCCATTCTTCACCCTCCAACACGCCGGGCAGTTGTGCAATGTTGCGTATGATGTTTCATAGGATATTCACTGTCAAAATAGAGGTGCTGGGGTTGAAACAAACATTCAGATGTAGAAGTATTAAAAAGACACAGAATATCAAGTTTAAGAGTTTTGCCTGTCGTCAATGTCAACAGGGAGAATCTCATTGCGCTACTTGCCGGCAACAGAGTCGATCAAGACAGTGTACCCCTCATCCAGCACGGCGTCTTTGTTCAGGACCGTGTGGCAGATAACTGGGATGTCAGAGTTGACGTCGAGGAAATCGGCGAGGAAGAGCAGCAGCTGGAAGTCTCGCAGGGCAGCAGCATAGTCGCGACCGTACTTGTGGAGAATTTGCTTCAGCATGGGACGGGTGCGCATGCTGCCTTCGCGATGCAATGCCGGGAACTCGCAATGCAACGCCGACTCATACGTTTGCACCGGGACAACACACAGGAAAAAGTTGTTGTCGATCTCCTTCGCCGCCTTCATCTCGACCATTGCAGTGAACGTCTCGTGCACCCCCATGACCTTCGGGTTGTCCTCCAACGGCACCAACGCGCCTGCGCTGAACATGTCCATGCACTGGTCGCTCACCTGGAATGCCTCGAACGAAGCCTGTCCAGACAGGTCGACGGTCACCTTGACGCTGACAAACGGTGAGGTATCACCGCCAGCATCGCACTGCAACTGAGCCGCCAGGAGAGTTTCGCGTGATGAAAAGTGAAAATCTGCTTCTTCGCGCGGGGGATGGCTGAAGATCCACCCGACTTTGGTCCACCCGAGCGCTGCTGCCACCGCGTCAGCTTTGTCAGCATGTGGATCGTCCATCACCTCAAAACCATGAAGGTTGCCTTCCTGTGGAGGTTCGTAGATACACTCGACCGTCACGATGCCATCGGCGACCGTCCCGTAGAGCCATCCACAGCGGCACTGCTGAAAAGCGAAGTTGCGCAGGTAACTCTGGAATCCATTGCATGACGCGGCATCGAGACGAACGGCATTGCAGTGCGCGCTTTTTTGGGCCTTGATCTTGAACTCGAACTGGGAATCCATCTCCATAAACTCCCCAAGGGTCCAGTGCATCTTCATGTCCCGCAAAGCTTTCATGCCAGGCCGAAATCCCGTCTTCCCCAAGCGCGTATCGTACGTTGCATGCGTGAGGGTACCATCGGCGTTGATCTTTCGATGAACAACACCCCCGGTGGATATTGCTTCTCCGTCGAAATCCAAGTGCAGCATGTCTCCGTGGCCGACTTGAATTGACCTCAGCGTCGTGGCATCAGGCAAACTGGCACCTTTGGGGTCGCGGCTGATGTGCTGACGACTCACAGCGATCGCATGCTCATTCTCAACCCACGTCTTCAAGTCCGAGACGGTCGACGCCGGCGTCAAATCCGGCACGCGCCACGTCCCTGCTTTCGACCGCAGACGGATCAACATGAAGAAATCAATTATGGGGCCGACCGGATAGAGGTTATCCGGTTGACCGTGTCCGGATACCCATTGTTGCGTTCTCCTCGTGGAATTGTTCGTTGGGCATTCCGTGGTGCTTTCGTACGACGGGCACCCGCGCGTGCCTTCGTTCACGAGGGCCATTCGTTGAAGTCGCGCTGGAGGTAAACCTGCGCAATCGTCTTCTCGGCAACGTAGTATGCTTGGGAGATGCATACTACGTTGCCGAGCTCCATAAGACGATGCAGTCGTCTTATGGAGCTCCTTGAGCGATTCATACTGGAGTATTTCCTCGCGACACATCATGTCGATCACAAGAATCATAGGTCAAGGCATGCTTGGTGTGTTTGTGGCACGTTCGCTTTGTCATGTTGACCCGTTAAACGATCAGCTCGTCTCGCCGCGTAGTGTAGTGAGGCCGCTGGGTGTCTCAGCCCAATACGTCCACGAGCTATCATAATGTACAACGCGACGAAAAATGACGAGAAATCCAAGTGGCGGCATCGCGGACTCACGATTCGGCTCGAACTAGATCACTGAGATAGGCCCCACGGCTGCTTGCGCCTTTTCTAGCCACGAGGCATGCATGCCGATGAGCACATTGTACGGAGGTCGCGACGGATGCGTACATCACGGTACGCTCGGGGAAACTCAGGTGGCGAAGCCTGACGTTTCTAAAGTCTCATCGTCGCGGTCGTGCATTCGCATTCGTCACGGGAACGACGGGGTGTCGAGGTTTGAAGTGGGACGTTTTCAGGTCATTTGTACGAACGTGTATCTTGAATGAACGATTGAGGTCGTTTGGCGCAGTGTGGGAAACGTCGCGTTGGGGACAAGGCCATGGCATGCCAACATCACCGGATCCACTCGATGTTTGTGGCTGTAGTGGTAGGTACCCCCGTTGTGCAACAAATCAGACATCTATTCGCATCCTTCATTCGTTCGAGTAGTTTGGTGGTACATCTGAAAGGCGCATGAGGCAGGTCAGGTAGTCGAAGAAGAGCTGTCGTTGACGAATGTGGGCGCTGGTGAGGAATTCCCGCACCTGCCTTCGCACATCTGTAGGCCCCTGCACGAGTTGAAACTCAGTCGCCATCTCCTCAGCTGTCACCATTCGACCTCCGACAGTTTGAGGGTGCCCAATGGTGTAAACCGTCCGAAACCGCGTGGCATGGGGCCCACAAGGCTCCGCGACAGTCCTACTCCCATGGGTATAGTGACAGGAAATTCGACAAGACGAACGTACCAAAGATGCGAGTCGAGCGTCCACACTCGACCATCTTCCTCCGGGAATGCTTCATCGCGAATAATGGTTCGCCATACTACCGTCGTTCTATCGGGTGTCCGAAATTGACCGTGCAGGGAATAGTTGTGGATCCTCTGGCGGGCCAACGGAGACGACACAACTTGGCGGTTGTACCGAAGCCAGTCATGTTGAAGCTGTTCGTTCTGCATGATTGAAATCGGCGGAGTGGCGCGGCGGTACTGAGAAAATGTGTTCTCGGCAATCCAGTAGAGGTTGGATGCAGCGTCGAGAGGCAACGGGAGCGTGTACTGAACCACTCCTCGCACTTGGAACAAGCCTTCGTCGTCGTCCACCGTCACGTCGATCTCCACAAGAGTTTCAGCCGAGTCTGGGAACGTACTGCACGACATAACGCGGTCTGTATTGTACAATGCATGCTGGACGATCCACATCTGCGCTGTCCGACGAATATCGTCGTCCCCTTGTACGAGATATGAATGACGCCACGTTTCTGCATGGGAGTGGAGGGTTCTCTAATGGAGAAATGAGTTTGACCACCTCCGAAACGATATTGGACCTACTGGTGGTGGCAGCATGTTAAGCACCCACGAGTGCAGCACATGGTATATGTATTCTTGTCGCTGAAGCTGTCGCTTAAGCGATCGGTTGTCTCGGACTTGATCGAGAGTGTCTTCTTTAAACGCAAGGGCAATCTCTTCCCACGGCAGAAGCGTCGTCCCAGTCCGCTTCGTTCGCATGAGCACGCCCTCCAAATCGTAGACCTGCCGCTGGAGGTTCTGGAGGCGTTTCTTTCGACTCAGTTTCTTGGATTTGGTGCCAGGAGGGCAGTCTGCAGTCGGGCGCAGTAGTTTCTTCTTGGTCTTCATGACCGGTGAGATCAGGGCCTCCTGCATGGATATTCCAAGCGCCGCCGCCAAACGAGTGGGAGGGCACGATGTTGTGGGAAGTTCAGTTCCGTGCCTCGTGAGTTGATTGGACCATTTCGACCTTCAACGAGTAGCGCTATCACAAAAGGAGGTGAAAAATGTCCTATCAAAGTGATACATTCATTCTTTGTGAACGAAACGTTCGGAATGTTGGAAGCGACACCACGCGCGGTTTTTTAACCAATTTTGGTGCAAATACCTCACGACCTAGTACATGATATCATGTGCCTTAACTTGGATGTTCATGAACTTGCTCACTTCATCCTAGTTCTAGCAACACTGCTGAAGTATGTCGCAATCATTTTCATGTTGTGGGCACATAACTATTTTGACTCTAAAATTATTGATTAGTTCAAACGTCCCGCTAATCCTCGTCCTTCAAATCAACGTCGAGTCATGGACTACACCAGGTTCACGAAATGCCGGTTGAGTCTGCAGCAAAAAACGCACGACAATGGTTAAGAGCCCTATTGAAGCCTGGGAGGAGATGCCATGTGAAATTATCGCTCGCTCACTTGAAAATGCGCTACCACAGACTCCTGTATAGAGCAACTTCGGCTAGTTTCGACCAAGAGGAGGCACGAGAGAGCAGCCGAAGTTATTTTATACCCCACTCGAGGTTTCGGGGTTTCATACATATGTATGAAGATTTGAGCAGAAGTTACACGCATCCAATGGTCCATCGGCAGTATACAAACATCAAGTAATTTTGAAGTCTAGTCGTTCGGATAAATTCTTCTACAGGGATTATCAGCCGGGCCATGATTTTTATCATTGCAGAACGTCGATCGTCAGGTTGTCCGCGCATTGTAAAGGCTGCGTTGGCCCTGCACACATTGTCACGAGGTGGAGCGATTCAGCTCCGCCCTGGAGGTACTGCCGATGATCGAAGGGCTGGTAGGGTCGGCAAGGTGAGGGGGCAGCCAGCGCGGGCAGTGTACGCTCATTTTCCGCAGGAGCTGGGGGGCAGAAGGTGCAGTCATCGGGGAGGACCGACCAAATCCCATGAATGATCTGAGGAAAACATGCAAATCTCTACCACATCGAACGGACCCCATATTAATTGATAGTTCCAAGTGTCGCGTATGGAATTTGTTCGCCCATGGCGATCGACCAAGTTGCGTTGTCCGTGGGAGTTGATCGTTCACTGCAACAACTATCTAGACGTGTCATTTTTGGGTCTGTGTCGTGGGAGTTGGTCCCACATGGCCGACACATTGCAGTTGCGTGGGGTGGTCGACAATGTCCGCCGTGCGGGCCGCACTGTCAGTGCTGCTGCCGAGTGCTCATGGCCCGGCAAGATCCCATCGCTAATTCGGCGAAGTTGACAGCCTCTTGCGACACTTAGGTTATAGATTTCGACCTACATGTGCTATCATTGAGAGTGTGTGTGTTAAATAGAGAGTGTTAATCTTCGGCGCCGAAGACCGTACAATACCATACTGCAATGAAGCTTCACTTGAATATATACTTCACTACGAAACATTTTTTCTTTTTAAAAGTATTATAGTATTTGTTGCAGGATTGTTGAGATCATGGCTACACATTA